TATGGGCGCCTGTTAGTGCATCACGTAGTTGTAACTCTTCGATTAAAAAAACTGCAGTAATTAATGTGAATGGAGTGCAAGTTTTGCAGATTACAACAAGTCAGTGTGCAGTTTTAAGTCATACATACACACGAATGAGGAAACATATTAATCTGGCAAAAGCACGTCATCCCAAAAATTTACATTTCATCCTGTACCGCGTAAAATCTAATTAGTTATCCAGAATTAAGAAGTTCTAAAGAAGAATTCCCATACGTAGTTTGGTATATCGAAATTATGTGTTACGATGGATGTTCTTACAGGCTAGGCTTCAAATGAAGGCTTTCTCTTGATTTGCATTGCTTTATTGCTTTAAGCATACATGCTCGATTTCCTGCATTAGGAACCGATGTTTTAAAGGATAAAATATAACTAACAGGTTAGATCTACCCTATTCAAACACTTTGCCCATAAGAGGTCCTGGTGAGAAGGCAGCTTCTAATGCATGACAAGCTCTCCATGACATCCATCGCAGGCGTATAAATATCCGAGCCTCGGTAGTACTGACAGTTCAATGCCTAGCTGCTCAGATGTTACGTTACATCAGGAATGGACTTCGATGAAGTGAAGCCTCCTACGTGCCCAAACGAAGCCGTTAAGAGTATGACTTAGTATGACTGTTGGGCTTGTAGTCTCACTTTTGCATAATCCTTCTTCCTTTTGTTATAACTGCCTCATATATGTACGTGTTACCTCATATACATTTATGTATAGATGTTATGCGCCGGAAATCATAAGGCGGCATAATTGAACCCGCGTCTGAATCAAAAAAGCATTTTTAACATGGCGGAAAGAGAAGAAAAAAAGGGGAAGTTGGCTACTTTGCGCCTATGCGAGTGCTTTCATCGAGTACAAGTCTGCTTAGAAACGCTTGTCTCTATCGTCCACCATGTTGGAACTGGCACGGTGGGTAACTTCTATTCTAAATCATTTAGACCTTCAGGCGTGTAATACAGAAGTCGTAGTCTCCCTTGGTATAGCTACGATTCACGTTAAAAATATTAGAAGCTCGTAAAGCATCGAAATCATTTTAGATGATAGTCAAACTCCAAACATGAACTGCAAAGAAGAAGGTATTGCATTGGTGCCGCACTGAACCCCTTGCGCATTGTGACAATCGTTAAATATTCATGGGATTTTGGTTGCAAGTACCCACAACTGTGCTATTTCTTGCTCCGCTCGACCAAATGGATGCAATGAGTATCGCCGACATGTGATTTCGCGTCCCGACATTGAACCGGAGTGATCTGGCTTTGAAAATGAGCATTACTTATACCGACAAGGCTTTACTGAGGCATTGGTCTCTCGTGTTACCACGAGGTAAAGTTGCCTCCCAACACCGGGAAACAAAGTTGTTTTTGCCTTGACGGTTGGATTCTGACTTAGGGGTGTTCAGTCATAATCCACCAGACGTTAGTTTTGGACCAAGGCGCAAGGTGCGCTGATAATTCAAATTC